CTACTTCTGGTTCATTTGTCTCAGATATTTTATCTTTTTTCTGGACATGTGCCGATATGGTCATCTGCTTTTGCTTCTTGGACATATTTAATATTTATCTCTGGCCCTAATAATCAATTATGTGTTTTTGTAATTTTTTATGTTTTCTAATTACCTCCAGGAAGATGTGATCAGGATGTGGTCTTCTCTTTTGACTCTCCTTATTGCTTAACTCAGAGTAACTTTTTTGGGCCTCAGTTGGGCCTGGGCCTTGGCTGTGGGCCGTTTAGGCCTCGGGCGGGTGGGTTGAGCCTAGGGCGGGCGATTTGGGCCTCTGGGGGGCCTGGGCGTCAGCGACCGGGCTGCAGGAGGGTTGGTCCTCAGGCGGGTGGTTTGGGCCTCGGGTGGGTGGTTTGGGCCTCAGGGGCCTGGGTATCAGCAGCTAGGCATCGGGCAGCTTGGGCCTCAGCAGGCGGGTTGGGCGGATTGGGCCTCGGGGGGCCTGTGCCTAGGGGACTGGGCTGAGGGCGGGTTGGGTCTTAGGGGCACTGGGCCTTGGCAACCAGGCTACTTGGCGGGTTGGGCCTTCGGGGTCCTGGGCCTCAGCAACCTGGCTACATGGTGGGTTGGGCCTTGGGGCCCTGGATCTTGGCCACCTGGGCCGTGAGGCGGGTAGGCGATTTGGGCCTTGGTTGGGCCTGGGCCTTTGTGACCAGTCTGTGGGCGGGTTGGGCCTCAGGGCAGGCCTTGGCCTCAGTGGGAATGTCTGGGCCTTGGGAGGGCCTTGGCCTCAGTGGGCGGGCCTGTGCCTTGGGCGTTCCTGAGCCTCGGCGGATTGGCAGAGGGCTGGTCTAGGCCGGGGCAATAGAGGGCTGGGGGTAATGGCTGCAGGGAGGTAGTGTCTGTATTTGATGACATAAAGGATGCCTCTCTCAGTCTCTCTGTATCGTGGGTACCCCGAATTTCCTGATATCCACACCGATATACCTCTCTATTTGTTTGGCATTGTTAGTTTATGCTTCCTTTGGAAATGCAGCCTTCTAAGTGGGGTTGCTCTAGCCCTGCTTTCCAAGGTCTGCAGGGGACATAGGCACTCGCCGGTGCAGGCGCAGAAGCAGGAGCCGCGTGCAGGCAGGCAGAAGCTCAAAATGCTTGTAATTCCTCAGCAATTTGATCTTTTAAAAAAATGAGTTCAGAATGTTGAAATATAAGATCTTATGTTTGTTCAAAGGCTGTCTGTCTGCTAGACAGAGGTTTCTTATGTGTGATTCCGCCCCTTTTCCCTGAGACTGCCCTA